ACCAATGGCAATCACATCGAACCAAAATGACTGTTTGAGGTAAAACTTGATTTGTTTTGCTACAAAATGACACCTCAACCGATTCTGTAAGCCTTCTGAATAAATTTCTATACACTTTCAAAGTTGTAAAGTCCTTTTTGAATCACCCTGTATTTTCAGGAAATGATCAGGTACATATAATCTACTCTTAAATACGATACTGTCTGTGGTTCCGTTATACATGTACGGTTCACGTTATGTTTGTGTTTTTAGCATCTGCAGCGGCAGAGGCACAGGGATTCCGCTACCATTGCGTCCGGCAGTGGGATTGACCAAATCTTGTATAAAAATGATTCTTGACCTTTGTCCTCAACCGCAATTCATCGTGACGTGAAGCAATTTTGAAAGTGTAGAGTGCGTGGGGTTTACTGCACACCTCCTATGTGCCATCACGGGTTCATGCTTAGGCAGAATGACAACTTCAACACTGATAAAACGAAGTCTATTTTAATGGCATAATTTGCTAGCTTCGTTTAATGCCGAAGATGGCAGTCTTCTGGGTTATAGCGCCGTGTAGTTTGGTAGAAGTTTGCCGACGTTTCAGAGGTCTCATCGCCCTGTTGATGGGGGCAGTAAGGATCTCAGAAACGTCAGTTAACTTGTACCAAACTACACGGTGTTACAACTCAGAAAACAGCCATCTTCGTATTCACCGCCGTAAAAACCTCAGATCCTACTTATATTTAATCTAATGTGTACTTGAATGTATTTTTTAAGAATACACACACCTATTTGTTGTTATAAATATAATTTACTTGACTCTAGAAAAATAATGGTGATGTTCCTTGTGCTGGAATACGCCATACAAACGTATGGAGTAGTGGAGGTAGAGCTACACGCATTCTTAAGCTCGACATTAGATGGAAGTGAGCGGTTAACACACGCCTCGGTCGCTTTACCACCTAGAAAACAACCCGGCGCCCATTGGACAGGAGTGTGATTTGGCCTCACAGCCGGTCTGGACATGTGAAGAGAAAAATCCTGTCGTGCCGGGAATCAAACCCCGGTCGCCCACAGCCTAAGCACTGTTGACTGAGATATTACGCCTCAACTTCGCTGTCCTGCATAAACTACCTAAACGTCAGAACCGGGATATATCAGGCAATATAATTTATATGTAGGGGTCGAAAGACGAGCAGGATTCGATTCCCGTCATGGACAATGATTTTCCTCGTGGTCACCACTTCCAGACAACCTGCCGTGTTCACAGAATATTTTCCTGTGAGCAGACTGGCCGCAATTGCGAATCTGACAGCCGACATCCACTTAGAAGCAATGTTAAGGGCACAGACAGCTTTATGCAGTTCTTATAAACAACAAATAAAACAAGACAGCGGACTCGCTCAAGCAAATTCAACTGTGGACGTAATTTGGTTTGTAACAACGAATATAATGAGTCTCCACACACAGGTACGACAATTAACAATGACTTTGTGTCTGTGGTTGTCTATTCTAGAGACTGAACAGACATAAATAAACCTGTTAAGAGATGATGAAGAAGCATTTCATCAACTAGCGAACAGAATACTTCTCGGTGTTCTCACAGAGAGGCTGTCTCCTTTTAAGCCTGAAACGGGGGGACAGAAGAGAAGTCTATAAATCTGGCAAAAAGTGATATTTTGTATGTCTTACAATCAATTAGATTCTTTGGTTAACACGACTACTATCCTAAGCATTGACAACAGAATGGTATGGAAACTGCAAAATAATGCATGGCTGTAGCTTCATTCTATGAATGGGGAAAAGTTAAGCGTAGATGGGAGGATAATATTAAAATTGATCTTAAGGAAACAGTTGATAATTAACCTTCAGGTTCATATAAAAGGCTGGGATTTTCTTTAAAAGTAGCTTTAAGCCTTAATTCAGCCCCACGCGTAAATTTGCTTAATTAAACACTTTACAGTAAATCAGCAGCTGTCAAGACTAGGCTAAGCTACGGACTGGACGACCGGGATTAGATTCCCGGCAAGGACAGAAATTTCTCTGCTCCACAGTGTTCAGGCCGATTTTGAAGTCTTCTCTTCCTATCCGTTGGTTACGGGAACAGTATTTCCCCGGGGGTTACTGTGGCCGAAGCGTGAAGCTGACCGCTGACATCCATCTAGTACAGAGTTTAAAAATGCGTTGAGCTATACCTCCAGTCTTTCGATGGGTATTTATTTTGAAATAAACTTTAAGATTTGCAACATAATATTAACTTAATATGAATTAAGGGTGCAACTGTGTTCAGATGTGAAATGTAGACTGGATTCAGCTGGCTCAGAATATGGCCCAAGGGCGGGTTTATGTGAAACTGGTAAAGTATCTTCAGATTATATACAAGACATAAATGTCTTGATCAGTTGAGCGACTACAGGATTTTCAAGAAGGGCTCTGCAATATGACGTAGCTAAATTAAAGTGATGGCGAAATTGATCAAGTCAGAATTTTTCCCCTCATTGTGAGTCAAGCTTAATCTGTTAAGAGTAAATCGCGATGTTGTTTCATTTCATTATATAAACTATACAGTGACACTATATAGTTCTCTCTCATTTATGTAACATTTACACAGGCCTATATAGATGGGTATAATAACATAAAGGCACACAGGGGTAATGAAGGAAAAGTTCACTGCATCTATACAGCAGTTAATACAGCTTTATTGTGGAGCCATCTTAACCCCAGCACCAATTTTACAGGAAGCTATGGGCTCTAACGCTTTTATAGACATGACCTTGGTGCGGAATCGAACGCTGGTTTTCAAATACAAAGCCAATCACCTTCCGACCCCTCCTTTGTACAGAATTCAGGGACGTAGTAATTTTTGCAAAGACCAAAGAATTAATATAATAGAAATATACCGAATTTCATTGAAGGAAACCTCTTGTCTGTATTGAGAAGAAACTGAGGGCAAAACTTAGTCCACCGTACGATACAAGAGTTGCCCAAAAAGAACGGTGTTTTGGAACAACGGTGACTTGAATACCAGAAGGCCTTTCCATTTTAAAACCACATAATTTATTTCAGTAAAAGAAATCAGTAATTTGACCCAGTTATTTAGTTGTGACTTTCAGTTGAATGCGACAGCTATTTTAAGTTAAATATACGATCCAAGTAAAGCTTTGATTTGTGATAACATTATAAAGAACGGGATATATTTTGAATCTGAAACAAAATAATTTACTACTCTCTAAATATGTTTTTTTATAAATAAAAATAATTCTAAAAGGATTCACTCCTGTAAACACATTTTCAATTTTAATCGGAATGTTCTTAACCCCATGGTTCCGAGGTTTTATTCTGAATCTGACAGAGGTGTTCATTCTGACGATTGAAAATTACTGTTACTTCTATCAATGATGTTATCATTTTGGGAGGTTATGCTTCATAATTGGTGTTCCTTCTGCCATAACTGCCTTGTTCTTTCATTATACTAAATTATATGCATTACACTCCTCAAGCGGTCACATGATACACAGAATCATTTAAACCCACACGACAAAATTAATATGGATTGTGGTCTTTTGGGCTGGTGACACCGCATTGTTTCGTAGGCAGTTACCGACGTCACTTTACCGTGAAGATTCATACGATAAGTTCATGCGAAAGGCCGGTAAACACTTTCAAGCTACGTTGCATCATAGTCCAGGAAGCCAAGATCCAGATCTTCACCGCCGTGAAAACCTCAGATCCCAGACATAATACTTAAAGACCTGCTTATCTTAACACGCATGGAATACTGCAAACGCTGAAATTAAAACAGAGAATATTCCTAGTTGTAAACACAAATTCCTTCACGCTGGTCTGAAGGCAAGGCTAGATGAAGGCGAACTTTCCGAACCAGCGTGCGATGAAGACAAGGAAGACGACTGTTGCCATGACAGCGCCAAGGACTCCCAGGAACCCCGTGACGGACACTTCAGTGCTGGGTGGCTTGAAATGTGACAGCAAGGCAGCCTGGGAGACAGAATGAATACAACACACATTAACTCTGCTGCAATGCGAAGATACAGAACGAGATGGATTAGTGCTTGGCATTTGTGAAGGTACACTTTCTATAAAGATGACTGTCTTCTGGGTTGCTGTCCCGTGTAATCTAGTAATTGACCGTCATTTCAGAAGTGCATCCATCGTCAAGGCGATGCACCTCAGAAATGATGGTAAACTTCTACCAGATTAAAATACGCCAACAACCCAGAAGACAGCCATCTTCAAAATCTCCATTTTCCACGTTCCTTCAGGAATGATTGGCCAAAAAGAACTGTGACGACTATTTGTATCATTTCTCTCCTAAGCTTCTGTGCTTACTTGAATAACTTCTTTTAGAGAGTACTGACAGTCGAGAGAACCTTACAGTTGTTCAGCTCAAGATATTCCCCGCCTTTCATGAAACTCGAAGCTTCATCATCGTGCTCACTGGTCCCTATCCTGAGCCAGATTAATCCCATCTACACCATTATACAGGTAGTGACGTCTGTACGGGAGGATACGATGGGCTCGATATGTAGCTGGGATATTAAGGGAGACAAGAAAGGTGTACAGAGCTTTTGTTAGGAAGCCTCTTAGACACCGTTCACTTGGAGGACCAAGGAAAATATGAGAAAACAGAATTAAGGTACAAGAAGGGATCGGAGATGGGTGGAAAAGGTCGAGATCATGTCCAATGACGAACATTGATATTAGCAGTGTTAAACATCTGTTCCTTAACGCACAATACTGGTTTATAATAAACCGTTAAATAGACGTACAATAACCAGAAAATGAAGCCAGTGACTATATTAACTCGGATTTTGAGGTCTGTGTGCATGCGCAATTGGTCTTTCGAGGTCATCATGCCCAATTTTAGCATCCCTCCAATCCAAGCTTCTATTTATACGCCATAAAATATGAGTATAAATGAAAAATGTTACAGATAATCTGTCGAAGTAAAATTAATGGAAAAATATGTTACGCTCTAGGTCCATGTGTTCTTATTATAAGTTAAGTGTAATATCTACGTTTATACGTAAATATTAAATCGTTGACACGATTGTAAGAATGTAACAACCATTGTCATCCTGTTTTAGATATGTACCAGTACCTACCAACTGTTCTGAAATTAAAAGAAAACGCGTGTGTTTCCTAACAGCTGGTACGAATCTGCTGTAAATATAACTCGCAACAAACTCAGCTGACAATACTGAATCAACATTGCACGTCAGACCGAGCACATATGGATGATAAGAAGAGAAAATTAAGGTTTAATACAGGCACTATACAGGCCCACTAAAGTCCGCATTTATAACACCATGCAAGGTTAAAAAATCTACCCCGGGGAAAAGATCCCTGGAACCCATTGGACAAGAGACTGGGTGGGCCCCAGAGCCGGTCTGGACGCATAAGCTAGAACAAAATCATCCGCCCCTGTTGGGGATCGAACCCCGATCATCCAGCCCATAGTCTGTCACTACTGACTGAGCTACCCGGCCAATTCTTAGTGCCGTGTAGAGGACAATAATATTAATGTTATTAATATTATCTGAAAACACCCCCGGTTGGACTGACATTTTAGGCCGTATGTTGTCCGTCCCTGTTCTGGATTCTATGTTCTTGTTATGTTGTACCTGAACTTAGAAATATTAATGTAAATGAGAGCCATTGGACTCTAAATATTACAGGAAATTAAAAATTTATTTCAAAATTTTCTAGATTTGCTCCAAAAATTAATCTTGCGTACAGCCGTGTTTCGAGAAAACAACTTGCAAATTCTTCTTTTCCTTTCTCATTCCCTGGAACGAAAGTAAAGTTCAGCGATTATAATTCTGCCCAGTGGCTTATATAGTCCGACTTCTTATTTTGCGCGAAGATGCTACGTCGCAAAGAAGAAACCTGCGCATTTTCACAGGACACGACACACGTTACGGCTTGGTTAATTTTATCCCTAGTCAGAATTAAATAATAAACAGAAATTCAAATCGATCGTATTTCCTCAGGGGCGTTAAGGCGCCAAGATAAGAACGTACAATCAATAAAGGAGAAAACAGAAGTTATTATTAGTTGTCATGGCGATGAAGAATGAAAAAAAATTCTTTCACCGCCTCCTAATCGAATTTTTTCCTTTCTGTATATATGGAAAGGCTATCAAAAGTTCTATACTACTAATTAACTTACACGAGTAATTTTCACTTGCACAGGTTCAGACAACACTAAATGTATCATCTACAACTTCAAACATTCACACGTACTATAGTTATAACTGCTAACAAACAGTAATTCATGCCATTCTTTGGGCATGTTTATTACCATTCTCCACAAAAAAAACTAGAATATCTAGCGCCAACAGATCATTGAAAAGTCCCTATTAATGTTTATTCAACAAAGATGTTTCAACTGCAGAAATTATGTAACAGAATGATATAGGAAGGTGTAGAATGAGGTGTTCTGGGTCGTCAGGTCACTTTCGGAAGACCGTAGCGCCTCCATTTTGAGCTTATGGTGGTTCACCACCGACTTAAACTGTGGGCAATCCACGCTACACGACCAACATACATAACTCAAGGCGGTAAGGAGTTTTGAACAACTATAGCACACCCATCGGATGTGGCGTAGGAAAAGTTTTTGGAACTTTTTACACTCTGCAGTGAACACTGGTCCAATCTTACTTCCTGGAACTACAGCGGACCGGCGTAGTTCCATGAAGACATCCACTACGCAGTGCCATAATCCATACTCACCCAGCCACCGTTACCGACTATCCAAGCAGCTAATTCCTCTTCTAGCACTTCGCCCATGGCTTCCAGCAAGTCGTGCAGATACTCAGGATGACCCTGTCGCACGCAGTCCACAGCCAAACCTCCCGCCACAGCAAACAAAGAAACCACTTTACCCCACGTCACGTCCACCTTGAACAACTCGCGTGCTACAGCGGTTAGAACGACGCCAGCGGCTTTCTCAGATGTTAAATTTCCGCCTCCAGGCGACGGACTAGCCTGCCTAGCTACAGAGGTATAAAGTTTAGGATACATTCTCTCCAACTCCTGTCCTATACTGGCCAACTCCGGGAACACATCTCTCACAACGTATCCCCCCGGTAAACTAGCAGCTGTCCTTAACCTCTGAAGTCCGCATTTCCTATTAAAAACACCCGAGCGCTTCAAACGGCTACGGATGTACTGTCCGCATAACGACTTCCCTTGATCGATTATCTCTTGGGTTGGTATCGGCGCTGTACGCCAACCGATGGTATTCGACAGTTTACGCGACACTGCATCGCTGACATTACTAAAACGTCGTCTTGCAGAACCAGCAACCGCATTTCCGGTTTCACCTCCAGCAGATCCAGTGAGTCCTAGCAGACTGGAATGTAGTGAAGCCGGGAAGCTGAACTTCCGTCGTTGTTGTGCGGTTGGTGGCAACCCCAGAGGGTGGGATGTCAGAGGCAGCGCGTTTCCCGTGACGCCTTCTGATGAGTCAGCGATCGCAGATGAGAACCTCCTGGTGTCGCAGCCGACGCGTTGCTGAAACAACCTGGAGAGATAAAGAAGTGTTAAGAAATTTAGGAACTTATTACAGCGACGTTGCTCCGTTTCGTGATACACGGCTTACCAAGGGGCGACTCGAGCTCCCCTTTGATTGGCCGTTTCACGCGAACAGCGACGTCACAGCCAATCCTGCATAATCTAAAAGTTTCCAACCGGAAGCATCAGGACATCAAACGATACAAGTGCCGGAAACGTTGGATCTGTTAGACTTCAACGCAACAGAATCTTCATATTTACAAAATGTTCACAAAAGTTTCTGAAAATGCTGTCAGCCTGAATGCGTAACTGAGTCTTGTGGCGTCAAGAAATCCTGGTAAGCTGCGAATCACACGGTAAGCTTACTTTCGGAGACCAATTGTTTAATTATTGTACACATACATCGGTAACAAAAGGCCACATTAGATTACAAACATACAATTTAACAGAAAAGTACCTTACAAATATCATTAAGAATCATTATTTATTATTTATTTAGTGTTCTGTCTGACGACAGGTCCATATGAACAGGATCCTTCCATCCTTTTCTCGGACTGGGACCTGTTCATATACGTTCTTGGCAGATGATCCAGAAGCGGTTTGCCATTGCCTTCTTCTGTGTGTGAATAGAGTAATTGTTGGGATGCCACGGAGAAAAACTCCGTGTTGCCTATACCACGGCCTTGCCCAACACAAGTTAGAAATTCCCAACACAAGTTATAAATTCGGGCACCGCCGGGAATCGAACCCGAGAAGATATTTTGAAACTACCTAATTATATTTTAAACGTTCTAGCTTTTGTATGTCGGGGGCATCAAACATTTCATTCACATGATAGAAACCTCAGACTAAGATCGTTTGGGAGCTAATAACCTACAACATGAAAGGTGACTGTACTTACAAACAAAAGACAATCTTATCTTACATTACCGTAATTTTGTATCGAGAAGTATCAACTCGACAGCCAAAAATGACATATTTATTTACGTTAACGATTATCTATATCTTAATATTCTAATTTTCACTCTATCCAGTGATGGATGAATGATGTCTGAAACCTCTGCTCTCCCACAACGAAAATACTTCGCCTAGCCCACTACTACTTTGTAAAATAATAGAACGTCAACTTCATACAACATAAAAGCCTACGTGTGCTCACCCAAACGCGATAGATGTCATGTCGGACCCAACAAAGAAGCAACTGCAATGTTCCAAATAGCGTGCGCGACTGCGTTAGTTCTTTGTTTCACAGAACGAAAACGAGGAGAGAAGATGTAGCAAAAGAATATACAATTCATGTCGGTAAAATCTCCTCCAGCAGTTCAGACGAAGGGGAACAGCTTAAGCAGTAAGTAAAGAATGCCATAAAACAAAAACACGGAGGGGATCCACTGACGTCATCATCATTATTAGTTCATCTCCCTCTTTCAACAGTTGGCTCCACAGGTTGTCGGCTACCAGGTCTGTATGCCAAGGCTCTACTTAATACAGCTCTGCTGTGTAAAATACGCTGTTTATTTTGCAAGTGTCTTTCAAACAGATACAAAACATACTCGTACAACCCCGAGTGTACTTCTGAAGCCGAAAAGAGATTCAGGAAGGACAGTACAAGAGTTGAAGCAAAGGGGAAATATGGGGAGAGAAATTATATATTTTACTTAAAGGGTGGGGAAGAACATCTTATTGTCAGAAGTGCCAAGGCGATGTTCACAAGGCTTCGAGCGTCTCCAGTCGTGTATTCGGAAAGCAAGTGTCGACCTTGTGGGTCAAATTAGTGTGATACCTAGTTGGAAAAAAAAACTGTAGACCTTAGTACGATGTTTGAATTTATTTTCCAGCCCTTGTATGTTTTGGCGTCACTATTTGTTAAAATTGTGTTAAGATATTAGAAATCATTGTAGAATACGCACTGAGAGTAAGCCCTAAGTAGTCTTCGAAATAAACAGGGCCCTGTGTACTTTATCTGACGGTCTTAATTACCACCACAACAGTGAGATTTAAACTTCTGCGTCGTGTTGTCTGCTCACCTCTGAAACGTTGGTAACTTCTACCAGATACGGGAAGTTTAAAAAGCAGAAATAAAAATTAATTAAACAAGGACAATATAATGTTACATAAATTATAAATAAAGATATATTAACGAAAAACAAAGAGTCGTAAGGAGAGAAAAATTAAGGAGTCAAAGTATAAAGAAAATGAACGAGAAAGAACATGACAGAATACAGAGATAAATAAATGAAGGCGGAGAAGGCAAATTAAATTCGAAAATAAAAGAAAGACGGAAGAAATACAGATGGAATGAATTATAAAAATCAAAACAAAGATACCAATCTCGAATTTTTGGGTAGGGGGAGCTCTATATCACTAGTTGGAGATATCCAGTCAACAAGTTCTAACCCCATTAGTTGCTAACACACGTCCCATGACCTGACAGTTGTAACGTCAGTCGGCAAGCAGTCGTCAAATAGACTGACTAAAAACACTTCATCTACGTGAAGAACAAGTAGTATCAGATGCTCGTGCCGGGGCACTGCGCGTCCAACAGACCATGAATGCACAGATTAATCCCATACGGTTGCGCGTCTGAAAGTTCTTAAGAAGATCGAATGCGATAAAAAAGTTTTTTTATTGATTTTTCAGTAATTACTAGTGATAGTTTAAAACGTGCTGATTGGCATCGTCAAAACAGTTAATTGTAGCTTCTAATGAATTTATAACGCTGAGTCACTTCAGGTATTGCGAAGGAGCTACTACACTTTGCACTGTTTTAAACAGGCTTAAAGACAAAACAATGTTTTTTGGATTAGTCAAATATTGAAACAAACTGTTTCTAAATGCATGGCTTAGAGTATTCCGACTCTTGTGGAAATTTCGTTTTGGTCAGCTATCACATTTTGTAATTTATCAGAATTTTTATTTCACTTACACCTGTAAATTTTCTGGTTTTATGCGTGCACCGAGTGGTTTTAACCGTCATTCTCAAGACATAATAGAATAGGGACGGGCAATTATTTGTACTTGGGTTTCAGATACGTCTATTTCGAAACTGCCAAGGACCAGACAGTCTGGCGAAAAAAGTTCAATACTTCAAAAACTGTATGAAGTCTATAGCTATTCATAGCTGGACTCTTATTATAAGACAAAATTAACAATATTTATTATGAATTAATTAGCACACGATTCTTTTAACTCTGATTAACTTTAATACAAATTAAATCTAATACGGAGTGAGTCAACTGAACTATTTGGTATCCAATAATATTTATACTGCATTACTGAACATGAACTGAAACTCAAAATTGCCTTTTCGTAAATAAAATAGTTTTCTTGCCTATTACGTATAAGAAAGTAACAAATAAATAAAATAAACTGTTATTAATATACAAACAAAGTCACGGGCCGGACAGAATTCCTTCACGAGCTGCTACTCCATATATTTCCAAGATTGATTTTTATTTATATTTCAATAATTCTGCACTTCTCAGTCTAATTAGTTACTACAACAACTTCACGCTTCTTAGAAAAGCTCACCTAACCTTTTAACTGAATTTCCTGCAGCCCTAAACCTTTCAATTATCTTCAGAACTGACAAGTACAGAATGTTCTTATCTGTTACCCGAATCCAAAACCGCATTTCTGAATGTGCTTAGGTCACGCTGATTCATTCTAACAGGTACACCTATGCATTATAATTATTACACTATTCGTTTATGCACCTATAATTACCCCTCCCGTCCTCACTCTCATATCTGTAAGCATTAATTTTCAGTTCAGTTTCTCCCACTACCAACATTAACATATCTATTCAAATCGAAACCCTCTTCATTCATTTTAAAATGAATGTAACTTTGGCGCGGGTTTTAGATTCGTAAGCAAACGGGGTCAAGCGTGAAGGGTGGGACAGTTACCTAAGGAAAGAACCCAAGACCAGGCATGTCATGCTTTAGCGGATTTCAACACAGCAAGCACAATTAATTAATATGACTACAAATGCATTCATTGTACATGTTAACGTTACGTTAGTTTATTTTGCTTATGGCAACTATGAAATGTTACGTGTTATGATTAAAACTGGAAATATGAGACATATTGCATGCTGAAAGATACAAACAAGACAGGTTTTTAATTATGTGCAGCGGCTGAATAGCAATAAGCCAGTTTGGTATAAAATTACAAGTTTTCTTCTTTACATTTGGAAGCTGTCTTCAGTATGTTGGCATAAAGAAGTGTGTTGCAGCATAAAGAAAGGAATTTGTACATCGTTCAAGAATATGGCACATATGTGGACTGTTGTTACTCAATAAAATAACCAGAAGACAGTAATAAAACACAAAAAGTTTAGGTTCCCCTTTAGCGTTCCGGCAGAGTGGTTGGAACTTTTGCATTGTAATTAGTAGGCAAATTGTTTGCCCAACTGCGTAAAATGAATACATACGATTTAAATATTATCTTCACACAAAGTTCTATTAAAATATAGCTTACGCAATAATTACAGAATGGCGCATAATTAATCACATGTAGGCGCTTTTCATGATCTATTATCTGCAATTTTTGTATCACCTGAACCTTGTACGAAAACAGGAAAACCCTGTTAAGATTTCTACGAAATTCTCTCTGCATCAATAAAATTGAACAATTGGTTGTGAAATAACAATTCAACAATTTCTGAGCGCTACTGGACCGTATAGCGGTTCATAATAATTTTGCAAGACTCTAATTTATTTCTGAAAAGTATAAAATATAAACTAATAAATAAAAAAATCCACTTTTTTCAAGTGGGATGATTAATTATGCGACACCTGTAAGCTTACCTAACAGACTGATGGAGTTGCACATCTGGTTTTATTAGGACGCAGGAATGTTTTTTCTTTTATAAGTGCTCTACTTGTACCCCTTTCGTAAGACAGATCTACCAACCACGGTTGAATTCTGTCCGAATCCTTCTGCCGTCCACTTTTAAGGTTGTCAAGTCTGATGACCTTGGGACCGGGTCACTACAACCATTCGCCCAAGTAAATTTAATCAACGATTCTGATTACTAGACCAAAACGCCGCCAAGTGGTAAAAACGCAAACACTCGGCAAGTTAAAAAGAAACTTATGAATATAATCCACAGGCTTTTACATTTGTGTATTTCTAATTAAAAGCTACAATAATGTTTGGAAATTGTTAAATAAATTTTAAACTGTGTACGAAATTAAAACTAGATTACTAATCTCGCACTCACATAAGACATGACAATAAATTTTGCAGAAATAAGCTTGGGATGTCAGTTTATTAATGTATAAATCATCGAGGTTATTCACTATTGTAAGTCTGAAGAAACAATAAACATTTTGAGCTTAGAGAAAATGTCCCTGTGCAAGTCTGTCAACAGACTGCAACGGCTTCCTGAATCATAGTCTGCTCAGTGTATAATCAGTGTTAAGACACGCTGCACATTCCCTCACAGTGACCTACTGCAGTACACAAGACGTACTAAAGAAAACGGAAAATTACAAAACATCCACGACCTTTGACCTATGCAAATGGACGTTTATAAACAAAATCCTACTACATTTTATTGGTTGTAAAATTCGGTGTCTAGCTCTGAGAGAAGTCCGTAAGGTTACCATACTCGAGAACAAAGCTCTAAAGGAGTATATTATAAAAAGGATCCGAGAGAAAAGATGAGTTTAATACCATGATTCCTAACTATCTGTAAGTATTTCCAGTATTATATGTATACTTTTTCATGCTGGATTGTATTAAAGAAATGCTCTTCTGTCAGCATATTTCCACGCTAGATGAAATACATGCTGCTGCAAAGCGAAGTATATTAGAATTGTGTTTGGCGTTGGTGAAACAATATATATCATATTCAATCAGCGCAGATTATTACAATGTATTTATATTTCTCATAAATTTATAAAATTTTAAATCGTCCAATTCTTATTTTAGGTAATAAAATATTGCATTATTATATGCTGTTTATACAACTTTTATGCATTAATTTATTAATTCTATATTTCTCAAGCTTATGAATCACACACGTCATAGCCCCTTTAATGTTATACTGCAATCTTTCGTGAAAATATGACTACGTATAGAATTTTAATTAGTTAACACGCGTACTAAAACGAGTAAAACCAGCCATCACGTGCTGATCCAGATACAAACAGCTGTCCTCGTAGCGGTAACAGTTTGGTGCAAATTTAAAGTAACACGATAGGAATTATTACACTTTTGA